TATATATATATATATATATATATATATATATATACACACACACAATATATTCACATGCATACATACATATGAATCAGAGGACTTCATCTATGTCGCAGGCAGGCAACAAGTAAAAAAACCTCTGGTGTGACGGATCCAGTCTTGACAAGACAGCACGTTTACTTTATGTCACCACAGGCCAGTTCTTCCACCCTAACATGGTAGTCTTGCAGTTCTACACAAGATTCTCCTGCACTCTTCTTTTGCTGTTCTTTTGAACTTTCCAACTGATTATGGTGGCCACAGAGTATCTGCTCAGATTAGGTTGAACTCTTTGTCCTGCCTCTGTCATTCCACACACAAGAACATGGTCTATCACAGTAGCTCTGATTTCATTGGTCTTGCTCTTCCTCGTCCTCCTCTTCCTCCACCTCTCAGATTGATGGATGCACCCGTGCCATCCGTGCACTTTGAACTGGCTCATATTTTGTACATTCACATATTTAGAAACAAGCGTGAACAGTTTTGAATTAATGTGTGTAAACAGTGACAGCCGTGTTGCAGTTGTGCTTAACTTTTGCTTTCTTGTGTTTAGGGTTTTGCAACACAGTGCAAATTGCATTTTAGTGAGTGAGAATGTGTTTAGAGTTTTGCAAAAAGAGTGCATGAGATCTGCAAACAGTGTCTAAACTGCTTGAACTTGTTTAAGGTTTTGCAGAAAGAGTGATTTATTTGACGAATTGGTTTAGACTATTGAGAATTTCGTTCAGAGAATGGGGTTTAGTGTCTTAGCAAATGTGAAAAACTGTATTGTCATATTTTTTATATTAATTTTATTTTAATTATCAATCATTTTAAAAATCTTTTTTTGCCTATTCAGAAACTAGTGTGTGTGTGTGTGTGTGTGTGTGTTTGTGTATAAGTGAGTGTGTGTGTGTATAAGTGAGTGTGTGTGTGTGTGGGAAACGGACTCACACTCCTGTATTTAAAGGAAACAGCTTTTTGTTGGTGATGTTCTAAACGGCATTAGTGTTCCAGCAGTCACTGTAATCAATACAGTGATCAATCACCTTGAAACGCCGATCTAACCAGCACTTTCATGTTCAATGTCAACAGCTCACACATCCCAGAGTCTGGAATTTACTAGAAATTCCCTTCATTCCTTGTTCAGAGCACCGGAAGCAGGAGAAGAGTAAACATGCCGTGACATGAACACACACACACACACACACACTCACACACACACACACACACACACACACACACACACACACACACACACACACACACACACACACACAGACACACACACACACACACACACACACTCACACAGACACACACATGCATGTGTATCTGGCTACACTACTGTTCAAAAGTTTGTGGTCAGTAAGTTTTTTTGGAAAGCGATTAATACTTTTATTTATTAACTCGATTTATTGCACGCTAATGCGTTTCACTGCCGTGACCCATAAATGCATTTTTTGTGTGTTCAAATTATGATTAATATGTGTTTTGTATCTGGTAGCTGGGGAGATGACGCGGCCAACAAGAGCTTGCCTTGTTCAGATGAAGAGATTCCCGGGCCATGAGCGCTCAACGGGACAAATGAGATGATTTGGGAAAATGGACAGAGGCACGAGATTCTTTTTTCTCTCTCTTTTGGAAAAAAAGTACAAATGGGTTTTTTTCTTTAGTGTGTGTGACTGGTTGTAACTCTTTGAGTGTGTGTTTAACAGAGTTTACAGTATGAGGTTTTAAACCACTGGAGGATGTTTCAGTGATTGCATCACAAGTTCAGTGCATGAAACCCTGTTAACTGTGGTAAAAATCTGTACAAAAGTTTGGGGTCAGTAAGACTTTTCTTTAAAGAAATTAATACTTTTATTCATCATGGACGCATTAAACGTATCAAAAGTGAGGATAGAGACATTTACAATGATACAAAAGATTTTGATTTAATAAATGCTGTTCTTTTGAACTTTCTGTTCATCTGTGAATCCTGAAAAATGAAATGTGTCACAGTTTCCACAAAAATATTAATGTTTTCAACATTGATAATAATCAGAAATGTTTCTCGAGCAGCAAATCAGCATATTAGAATGATTTCTGAAGATCACGTGACACTGAAGACTGCAGTAATGATGCTGAAAATACAGCTGCGCATCACAGAAATACATTACAGTTTAACAGATATTCACATAGAAAACAGACATTTGAAATTCTAATAATATTTCACAGTTTTTACTGTATTTTTGATCAAATTAAAGCAGCCTTGCTGAGCAGAAGAGAAACATTAAAACAAACTTTTGCACGCTTGTTGATCTTGGTTTAATCCTGATGAATG